AAAAATGCGGGCAGGATTGCAGTTCTCCCCAGGAAATGAAACAATTCTTCTTCGAGGAGGCTGCACGTGTATTGTAGGGACTCGAAAAATATTCAGTTGTTGTTTGCTTCAGAAACTCCTTTCTGCCTGTTGTGCAGTAATTAGTGCCATCGAGCAGCTATCGGAACAGCCGGATCGTCGTGCCGTTGCCGTTTGCTGGTTTGGAGCAAGGCGAGTTGGTGCTCTTGAGGTGTAATAGAAGACCGACTGCCGTGTCTCTCTAGACCTGAGTCACTGGGTGAGCGTGAAGGACAGCTCTCAGGTTTCATTCCTGTTTTCTCACCAAAATCCACATCCTAGAAGATTAATGCAATTTTGAAAGATTGTTCAGACCTTTGCGTTAGAAAAGCTTTTTAATTACACAGCTCGACAAGTGCTGGCAAAATTGTGTTCCTCGGAAACCATCACGAATCCCAGCATTGCTAACCCTCCTGGTAGCTGCTGGCTGGTGTGGACACAGTCTAGAAACCAGTTTCTAAGAACGTCTCCAAAGTCCAGCTCTGCATTAACAGCTGTGGTCACCAGTTGTCCACATTTAGGCTGCAGAAATCTTGGCTTCATGTTGAGAACCTTTCCCTGTATCGTAAGTAGGAAAATCCTGCAGCCCCTAGGTAGGCGGTAAGGAGGAGGTAGGGCTGATGTGTATGAGGCACTTGGCTCTTTATCTATTAACTGTGGCTTTTATGGAAGAGGTGAAATATTGCAGAACTCCATTCATCTGAAGCTATTCTAAAAGTGGGTTTTGAGGACTTAAAAAGGAGGAAAAAAAAGAAGAAAGACCAACAACAAAAACCCCTTAAAGGCAGCCTTTGTGGAAGAAAAATGTAGAATTGCCAATATTGCAAACTAAAAAATATACCCATGCTGATTTTTAGCCTCTGTTTTAAAGAAAGCGATGTGTTGAGCAGGAGATGCCGTGCTTGGTTAGACCAGCTGATAGAGTTTGAAAAACTGGGCTTGAAAACCTGGGTGTACTCTCCCAGCAAGTCTCTTCCTCAAGTTTTTTTCCACGAAGTTTTAAATGAACACAATTAGTACTGATTTCAGAAAACTACACGCTAGGTGTGGAGCTGCCACTAGTTATTGCTTCTGAAACAATCAAACAAGTCGTGTATGTTTTGAGTCAAATATGGTTTGGGCAGGACAGGTTTTGTATGGCGTAGGATCTGTGCCTCTTAAGAGTAACAGTTTGGCATTTAAAGTCCTGTGCCTTTAACAGGAGGCTCTGGACTGCCCTGGAGCACTGCAGGTCTTGCTTCTTGGGCATACAGCATGGTTATAGTGCAGTGTTTTCTCGGTGTGCGCAAGATTGGCTTGTATGAGGGTGTTTTCCTGGAGATTGAAGTAAAAAAAAAAATTGCTAATAATCATATTGTAAAACTGATTCTCTGTTCAAGGACTAATGTGAATTTTCAAAAAAAAAAAAAGTTACGTTAGTTTTTTGTTGATGAGGAGGAAATAATTTTTGGTTTTAACTTGTTACATAAATTGGAAAAACGAGCTTTTCTCAGTTTGTTGCTACATTGAATGATCTTGTATAAAGAAATGAAATTACCAGCAAGATTAATGTTTCTGGTCATCCTTGATGGCTCTGTATGTGCTTGATAGAATTAAAATGGGACTGGAGCAGGACTGAATATGGAATTTAGAGGGAGGAAATGTTGTCCTTCAGCAACTGAGAGAGAGAGAGAGAGAGAGAGAGATACACGTGCGCTCTCCTTTACACATATATATATTTAGTGATGGAGCATACGCAGAGCCGTGCTCTGCTGTGGGTGCTCGGTTATCCTGCAGCCAGACCAGTATGGGGAGTTGTGTTTTCTTTCTTTTTTTTTTTTTTTTTTCTTCAGAGAAGCAGGAGCAGCTTCAACAGGGTAACTTGAACTGAATTCATGAGGATATTTAACAGAATTCAGTAAAGAAAAAAAGTGTGGTGTCTTCACAAAGAAACAGTAGTTCTTTCAGCCAACAAGTTTGTTTATTGTATGCGATGAAGCCTTGGCGCAGCAAAACTGCTGAGCTCCGTGTGTAACGCATTAATAACTCCCATTCAAGGGGAGAAGATATGCTTGGAAAGGATGGTAATCCTTATCCTAATTTAATGGTCTGCATAAGCTTACTGCAGTGTCATTTACAAAAATAAAAGAAAAGCATTCAGACTTGATTTTTAAAAATTATTTTTTTTTAAAAAGGGTGTCTCCTTTGCCTGAATATTCCTTTTCTAAACTCTCCCAGGATCAGTTAGGGCTGTTTCTGGTGTAGTTTTTCAGCATACCCTAAATGCACTGGCTAATGCTAGGCAATCCTGGCTGGCTGCTTTTTATCTTGTTGCCTGACAATCAACTGAAGTGAAAAGGGATTTTTATTTAACAAGAACGGATTATCTATCTGTTAAGGTCCTGCTCTTCATGAGAAAGTCGGCAGCTACATGTGTGAGTGCATCAAATATATAGGCATAGTCCAGCTGACGCTGGCATGGCCGGCATGGATGGTGGGATGAAGGCTGAAGTGGGAAGGACTGACCTGCCTGACGTGGTACCAGGCTCCTGGGCAAGCTTGTGGTTTGTGTCCCTAGACCAGATACCCCCAGGATACTTCGGGTCTGCCTGCGGCTGCGGCAGTCACGTCTGCTCTTCCTCTGCAGATCCTCTGGCTCGGTTACACTGCAAGAAGTGGCTATAAGTTGCACGCGTTTTTATGCAAAAGGCACATTTCAGTGCCCTGTGCCACCGTAGTGTAAGTGAAACCTGCAGCTGAATGCTGGGGATGCCGTGAGCGAGCTGCAGTGGGGTTAGTGCTACAGGAAACAACTTGCATCCACGCTAAAGACATAGCTTTCTAATTGCAGCATTTCAGCTCTAATCTGCTCCTTCACAGTGAACATCTAATCAACTTTACAAGAGTAGAAGAGCATGAAGGACTTCTAAAAACAGACTTTGATGGTTTTATCTCCTCTTTTTTTTCTCGCTTCTTGTTGTTTACCTTTTGTCCTCTCTCAGTCTCTCTCATTCTTTTTCTTAAAACTTACATATAGAGTTCAGGCAATTTTAAGAACAGCATTAAAAATTGCTGCCAAATTTAAGCCCCTTTATCCCCACCCCTTGTTACAGTCTGTGAATCCTGCTTAGTTTTTGACTGCAACAAGATCTTGTAAAGATTTTTACATGGTCATTAGGCATTGTATGAAAAAATGTTTCTCTTAGTTTTGCAATTTTCTGCTTTTTGGTTTTGTTGAATTGTTACACATTGTGTTGTGTGGCAAGGAGGAAGGATGCAAAGTCCAGTGCCGTGAGCTACTCTAGAGAGCTAAATCAAAATATTTACCCATTTCACATCGAAGAATTAATGTCAGCTTCACAGGCAGTCTTTGAAGAAGTCATTTAATTAATTAGTTCAATTCAAAATAATAATCTTGTTATGGTAATAGACCAAAAACTAAAGAAAAAAAAAAGCAGTATCGCATACAGAGTACGGAGCAGACGAATATTGAGCAGTGTGATTTCCATTGGTAAATGTTTAATGTGGATTTTGGAAATGGTTATCAGAACAAGAATAGAGCTGGTGATCTGCAAAGACTATTTTTAAGTTTTCTGTTTATAATTGGGAAGATTATTTCATGCGTGGAGTTTTCATCCCTTCATTTTATAATATTCTATAAATTACTTGGCTGAAAAGGGTTCTGACATGGCAGAATAGTGGGTAAATTCAGATGCAAGTGATCTGAATTTGTTTTGTTTAAACCACATTTTCTCCTATCTTCCAATCATCACCATTAAAAAAAATGGATTGGTGCAGCTTTGTGGCCAGTGCTAACTCGAGCCATTCCCCTCTGATACGGTCTGGAGGCATTTCTCACTGAACCGTGTGGCACCCATCATGAAATTCGATTTAAAAAATATTTGTAATCATCGGGCAGCTGTCAAAAAAGTGTTGCTTAAAAACTCATCACTGAAATGATGGCTGTAAAAATCACGTCTTGGTAGGAAGTGCCGCATGGGAGGTGATGCTTGGGGCCATGAGGTTTGGAGAGAAACACCTTCAAAATCAGGCTGGTTGTACCCTTCAAACTTACTGATTTGCTGTATTTTCCCGTAATGCCTTGGGGATCGCAGCTCGTAGCTCTGCCCCGCTCGTCGCCCGCTCATCTGGAAGTGTGCGCTGGGCTAGCGGTAGGACGATCCACGTGCTTCAGTTGAAAAATGGAATAAAAAAATGACTTGCGCTGTGTTATCTGCCAGTTTCCGAGAGAGAGAGAGAAGGTTCCTAGCTGCAGTTTCTGCTCCAGCCACACTTATTCACGTCATGATGGCACCTTCAGCAGAGACCAATAAATTATTCCTATTTAAGTAGCATTGTAAAGAAAACTAAATTTTCCCATGAGCAAGTAACATTGGAATAGTAAAGTCATCTTCGTTAGTTCAGATAATATTTTTCTCATTTATTCGTGTATTTTTGCTGGTCTGTTGAAGGTTTAGTTTTTCTGCCACTAATTCTGGCTTTATGAACAGATAAATGTTAATATCCAAACTAAGTAGCTCTAAAGTAATTGAAGAGGAGATTGTGGGCTTCAGCATAAAATGCGCTATTGAGTTGTCTTTCATGTAGTAAGAAATGCCGCCTGCCTCTGTCAAGCTTTGCACACACGCGATTGAGTAAGTTTTGTGATTGGGAGAACTTAGATCAGATGTAAGAGACTCCGTGTCTCCATTTTTCACGTGTCTTTTTTATTTGTGAACATCAACAGGAGACCGAACCAGAGCAAATACCGATGGGGCGTGAGAAAAAGTTACCAAAACACTTCTTTACTCCTTGCTAGGGGAAATTAGGCTTGGTTCTTCTTAGCTGTGTTGACTCAATGTAGTTGCAACTCTGTGCATTTTGCTTAAAAAAGGAAAAATACATTAACCAGAAATTCGATCTGAAAGCCAAGTGTGATGTCGTTGTTTGCTTTCTCATGGCAGCCACCAGCTCAGCCCACTTAGAAGATCTCGCGTACCTGGACGAGCAGAGACACACTCCCCTGCGGACGTCCCTGCGGATGCCGCGGCAGAGCATGGCTGGCGCCCGCACGCAGCAGGACCTGCGAGGTAGGAGAACGCTGGAGGCTTCGGGGGCTCACATTTCACAGGGGTCTCAGGGGTGGGAGCTTGTACTGCAGCCGCTTCCTCCGCGTCCTCGTGAAAATGCTGGAGCAGGACTTTATGTACAGGTATTAAGCGGTGCCTCTCCGTGAGGGGGTGAACCAGTCTCCTTTATTTGCAGCATCCTTCTTGGTGGCATGGCCAAATTGGAGGGGAAGGAAAATAAATGAAGTCATGAACTAAGTATTCCTGCCTTCTGTCTGATGGTAGCTGGCCAGATGTTGCCCTGCTGCTCCTAAAACAGTGCCGTGATCGGTGAAATGCTGTCGGTGTAATGGTTTGGGGTTGCTTTTCTGGGCTGACTTACATGTCCAGTTTGCCAGATGCAGCCATGGTATAAAGATTCATCCCCCATCACAGTCCTGCAGACACTGATACTAAAGAGGCTCCTCCC